CGTTGGTCAGAACACTTCATTCAATAATGATCAGTGATTTGCGGCCGACGATCAGCCCTAACAAACGTCCCGGTCTCTGACGGCCGCAACTTGTGCTCGTGCCTGTGACCTGCGGCGAGCGAGACCGGGTGGCTGACCTGAAACGGTGACGGAACCCTGCGGACTGCCGTAGACGAAGCGACGCCAGGTGGCGTACGGCACCTCCGGCGACTCTTCCGTGAGGATGTTGAGGAACTTGTGGTCCACCGCCCGGTTCTTCAGGTCAAGCAGGAAGGACGTGTGCTTCCCGATGCCGACTCCCTCCGGCTGATGGCCAGATAGACAACGCCGGACATTAACGCACAGACCCGATGCCGACCCCCTCCGGCTGATGGTCAGATAGACGACGCCGGACATTAATGTGCAGACCCGATGCCGACCCCCTCTGGCTGATGGCCATACAGACGACGCCCGACTTTAACGTACAGACGTACTCAGGCCTTATGGCCTGTACCGTCTGCTAACCCTGGTAGTGGATGATGGGACACAATAAAACATAGGACGGGTTTAAAACGACGTGCATATTAACGTATGAGGATGCAATCCTTCCTGAGCAATCGCAGCTGTCAAATGTCCGGTTCTAACCCACAGTACAATCAGAACGTTATTACACTCTGAAAGGACCAGCCGATGCTGATGAGGCACAAAGGAGAGAACACTTGTTATTCTTTTTTTCGTTGATCCAAAACCCAAAGACATTTGTGAATGGTGTGGAATATTTTAGAGGACATTCGACGAAAACTAAACGTCTTGATCTACTTGACGCCAGTTCCAAACAATAATGGACTTTTTTCTTTGCTAAGACCAGCTCCTCAACTCCCGACAGCTTCCGTGAAGAATAAATATCGCTCACTCAAGACGCTTGCATTTTAAGCCAGTGACTATTCACTTCCTGATAACTCATTATCATCAGACACTCATATCCGATAGATAGTATTAGGTGCGTAGTGGCTAGCGCCACCTGCTGACGTACCGAAACCTCGACGGTCGCCTCCTCCACGTCCAGTCCGAACTGGGTGATGCACTTGATGGTGACGTCGAAGGAGCCGGCCTCGACCATCGGTTTGATCGGGATCGTCACCTCCACACTTTCGCCGGCCGGAATCTGTACACCATCAGCCGGTCAAGGGTCAACGAGGACTACGGGTCAGCCGGCGGGCACAGGTCTACGCTCGGCAACAGGTGAGTAGGAGGTCACAGGTCAGCGCTCGGCAACAGGTCAGTAGGGGGTCACAGGTCTGCGCTCGGTAACAGGTCAGTAGGAGGTCACAGGTCAGCGCTCGGCAACAGGTCAGTAGGAGGTCACAGGTCAGCGCTCGGCAACAGGTCAGTAGGAGGTCACAGGTCAGCGCTCGGTAACAGGTCAGTAGGGGGTCACAGGTCAGCGCTCGGTAACAGGTCAGTATGGGGTCCCAGGTCAGCGCTCGGTAACAGGTCAGCAGGGGGTCACAGGTCAGCGTCTGGTCCAATGCAGCAGTCGGTGCCGCCTCGATACTTGCTTTCCGTCATATGTTCAGATGAAAGAGAAGGTGAGTCTCGCCAAGGGGCAAAGCTATTTTACGGAGCAGGTTTGTGAAGGCGCTGTGTTTTAGCACAGCTCTGCAACCAACTCCTGCCGTAGTATGTCCCTGATTACACATCGGCTGAGTCCTATGGCAACGAACTGAAGCAAATCTGATATAAAACGGTAATATGAGCTTAGCTCCAGAGCGGCTGGTGAGCTTTACATGGTAGCTCCACTGCAGAACGCCAGCAAAGCGGTTGATTCATTACCGGCAACGCCTACTTTACGCTACGTCTCATGGACGGCCGTGGAGCTTCAGTTTCCCATTACCTTAGCTAATTTACCAAAGGGCATGCATGAGCGTTATCAGGGGGCGTGAGAACTTTCACTGCAGTGAAAGAGACCACGTCGGCTTAGCGCGACATGCGACACATCAGAAACGCTTCAAACAAAACAAAACTGTACTGAGCCTCTTGTTTTAGCCATGTGTACCGGACGCGGGATTCGAGTCGCCACACCAACTCCGGCGCAGTCCGCGCACGACCGACGTGCAAAGGACGGCGCGCACGCGACCATGCGTCAGCGGTACGGGCTGGTGATGTACTGACCGGCACCAGGTGCTGGTGATCCCCGCTGGATGTGCGCACATTCCGGTGCGAGATCACACCGTCCAGCTCCACGTGCACAAACCTGGGAACGGTCAAACAGCCCATGTACTCTGGATCCCGATAGCTTTTAGCTACTGATTTGCTCCCCGCACTTCTTTTGCATGCCTGTTGCGAGAACTGCCCCTTCAATGCAGTCATTAGATAGTGCTGTTCAATTAATTCTCTCGTGTTGTGCCTGCGAAATTCCCTTGAGCATAGCTTGACAGAATGTTCCTCAAATGGAAGTAGGAGGGAACGTGCAATGTGAGATGTAACTTGCATTGGGACAAATAATTCACTAGCAGCACGCCTTTCAACTGCTGATACGCATATCATTCTCCAATCCGGCAAACAGGGCAAACTCTAAACCCACTGACTTTTCGGCAATAGCCTACGAGAGACCTTGTAATGCTAATGGTCGGAGCTCCTGCAAGCGTCAGCAATGGTAACGTTTCGATCATCGCTGCAAGGAGCGTTATAGCTATTGGTTTCGGCTGTTCCAAATCATCACGCCGACCGTAGCATGAAAACCGAGACACAACTGTGGCTAGTATGAAAATTTTGATACCTGTAACATGGCGGACATGGGCCAGTGATGTCTAAAGTCAGATCTGTCGAAATCCTGAGATACGGTGCTCTCTACTATCGTTCCATCCATAATCTAGTGCTTATTAGAGACTGGAGGGAAGATTTGTCAGCGCCATGTAGGTTCACTCACTGGTAGTCGTCGCTGTCGACGAGGACGACCAGCGCCAGCACCTCGATCTCTTGGTTGTTGGCCAGCATGAGGCGCGCCGAGATCGTCTCGCCACGCCTGATGTTCTCCACCAGCTCCATGGTCATGTAGAACGGCCGGTTGCTGACATACTGCAACGTCGCTGCGGTTTAGAACACGGCACGTGACGCGGAGGGCGTTTGGCAATGACTCGGTCGCGTCACCAGCTAGACGTGGTGACATGGGAGTAAACTGTCAGATATCACCAGCTGCACCACGTCCGCGATCCCTCCCGTCCGAGGCACCAGTCTCCTCACGTGTAGTGGCGTCTCGATCAGCCCGAAGCCGTCCTTCTGGCTGATGCTGAAGCCGTTGATGTACCAGTCGTCGTTGGTCTCGGGCACTTCCAGCACCAGCTGCTCGCCGCCCTGGTACCCTGGTAGTGACCAGTCGTGGCGTCAGTGACGGGCCACGGGCTCAGTGCCGGGTCATGGGGTCAGTGCCGGGTCATGGGGTCAGTATCTGCCCATGGGGTCAGTGACAAACATGCGATGCTGACCGGTCGCGGGGTCAGTGACGAATCACAAAAGTCAGTGGTCGATCACTGGCAGTGGGAGCGCAGCCAAAGGGGATCCCTCAGGACCACATTTTCTTATTTCAGTATCATACACGGCTCCTTTAGCGTCCTAAAGACGAATGTTTACTGACCTCCGCCCCGCCTCCCCTAATTCGCCCATTTCGCCCTGATCCGCCGCTTTTCATAACGGGAGTCGATGCGATCCCGTGCCGTCTCCAAACTAAGAAGATAGAGCTTAGCAGAAAACGATGGGTTGGTCTCAACGAGATCTTGCGATTGGCAATAAACTGTATGAGACTTGGTCAATAATTGACCACAATACGCCAAGTTAAAGGTCAAACTTTGCCCCAAATCGATCTTTTTCAGCTTTGCAAGCTCACACATGTACGAGACCATTGGCTAATGAATGCCCCACCGGGCACTAAAAATTTGGTGTGCGATTTTACGACATGCTGGGGAAGTATCCTCAGAAAACCCTATGGGCAGGTCTAATAAGCCGTCTTATAAAGCGATCCCCCTCCCCCTGTCAGGGCGAGAGTTACGAGAACCCTTGCTGCTACCCTGACGGGAAGGACTTAAAAGGTCGTCACAGCATTAATTGCGACTGTGTAGCTAGTCTGATACACAAAGAGCCCCAGCGGACTCACAAACGACAGACTCAAAATAATTGGAAGTCCCTCGATGGCGGTGGCGGGCTGGTAACAGGATGAGAAAGGAGCGTAGCCGGGGCCGGCTCAGCAGGCGCTCACCGATCTCCTGGCGCACCCAGGCCCAGTCGCCGTCCTCGGGGTCGAAGAACTCGTTGTAGACGGAGCGACGGTCCAGCCGGAAGCGTCGCTCCTGCTCGTCGTCGCCCAGCTCCACGTGGCCTGCAGACGCGGCAGCGGGCGGCGTAAGACAGAGCGAGGCGAACAAGCATCGGCTGTCAGTAAACCAGGCAAAACGCCACTATCATGGGAGAGGCTGTTTCGTCACAGGGTAACAGCAGTGTAGCTCAGTATCTCACGAGATGAGGCAAACGCCAACGAGCTAGGTTCTCGTGTTCAGGTATGAGGCTTTTTTTTAGCTAAAACAGCATTCACATCCAAAGGTATCAATGATCAGATACTGCTTATGAAATACAGGTGCAAGATCCACTAGGAAGTAGCTAACTAACCAAACAACTGAAGGAGGAACAAAATCATATCATCACCAGCACATTATCTAGCTCGTGACCACATATGCATAAAATGTACGTTCAAGAGACAGGAAATGGTGCATCTCAAAGAACAGGTTAATGGGGGTCGAGCTCTGTTGTACCGTTTGTGTTCAGTACTCACAGCCCATCTCGTCGGAACGGTCTGGGCAGTCATCGATGCCGTTACACAGGAGCGTGGCGTTGAAGCAGCCGCGGGTCACACAGCGCAGCTCGCCCTCCACACAATCTGCCGGTAGGGAAGGGCTCGCCTAACACACAGCAAGCAGACTGGAACACAGCGAGTCGGGTCGCGTAGTGACTACAGCGGCGCGGTTCCTCTGCATATCTGTGAAGCTGGCGATTTCTTCAGCGATTTGTTTAGCGACGAGTTGCGGTTTCGATGACAACGAGGCGGATGGTCAGTTATGGCCATAGAGCATCGAATGGCATGTACACTTTACACTGTCATGTGACCTTCAACGCAAAGGGACGAAAAACTGCATATCCCAAAAACTTAACGGCTGATTTCGGATTTGTGAGGATCAGAACAATCGCAAGCGCATGGACTACCGTCCGTCAAGAAGGCCTGACCTATCAAGGTCATTTTTCAAGGTCAATTTCAGGCTTACTGTGCGGGAACTTCATATGACCCAAAAGTTGCCGCTGATTACAAATTACTAGGCCTCAGAATATTCATCAGCAAAAAACTAGCGTCCGTCAAGAAGCCCTGACTTATCAAGGTCAACCTTCCAAGTCAAATTCAGTTCAAAGGATGTGGAGCTCCGTATCGTCTGAAAATTGCTGCCCACTTTCGGGCTTGTGAGCATCAAGGCAATTGCTAGCGCACGAAGTGGCGTCCAACAAGAAGTCCTGACTTCTCAAGGTTACCTTTCAAGGTCAAAGTCTGGCTCAAAAAGCGGGGAACATTCATAAGCAAAAGCGCTAGTGTCCATGCAAATAATTTCAAGCATCACGACATTAACAATAAAAAAACTAGTGTCCGTGCAAAGATCCTCTCAAGGTCACCCTTGAAAATCAGACACGGAATTAAAGGACGGGGAACTTGATATGACCTGAAAGTTACTGGTTGATTTAAAACGAGGTTGGATGCGTCAAAGAACATCATTAGTTAAAAATCTCAAATCCCTCGGGATATGTCACTTAGAGCTACCAGCTATGCACCAAAAACGGACAGAAAACCTTGGAGAAAAGTTCAAAATAATGTTTTAAAAAAGGAAAGAAAGCGACGCTGATGAAGCGATGAGACGAACCTGTCATCATTTTATGCCTTTGGATGGGAGCGGGGCTAGGTTGCAAAATTAAGGGAAAAAGTACAGGTAGAAAATGGTAATCGGGATAGGGACCGGCAAGCGTTGCGGCAAATATTCAAAACATTCACCTTTACACTACCGTTCGGAAACCCTCACGCCCCCATACGGAAATCGAAAACCCTGAAATTACGTGAACCTGAGTAAAATCCCGAAACTAAGAAACTGGCGTCACAGATGCTGACAGCGGCTGGTGAAAAACTGGCGTCAGAGATGCTGACAGCGGCTGGTGACGTACTCCCGTGACCCTGACCTCACCTGACCCAGGGACAGACTCGACTATAGCGTCCGTGAAGACCACGAGGCCGGCCAGGTCGAAGGTGGTGTTGGCGTCGATGCCGTAGTTTTGCGTGATGTAGTGCTCGGACCTCATCGGCTGGCTACCATCTCGCCAGCGCCAGTTGGCGCTGTGAATGGGTCTGCAAAAAACGCAGTGTCGTCATATTATTTTCCACGTAACACGAAATGTTTACCGCAACGAAGAAATTTCCCGCCATTTCAGTCACCGTAGAGCAAGAACGCACATCCGGGCACCTCGGGCCACGTCCGCGATATAAATCACTGGCACCAAAGCCGCCAACAAAGAATCCTCTCCTTTGACGGAGAATGGCGGAGTCTGCTTCGGGTAACTGCTCGCAGCGCACGGGTTGTGCGAGCTCTGGGCGCCATCGCGTCAGCCCGCACCTGGTGGTGTTCTCGAACGAGTGCAGTGCCGAGAGGACCGAGGTGCGCGTGAGGTCGTGCCCGGCCTGCACGCTGTAGAGGTACGCCCGGCCGGAGCTGGTGCAGAAGGTGGCGCCCGGGGTGCTCCACATGCCCAGTTCCAGCGTGTTCTTCGAGTGGTCCTTGTGCTGGTTCAGCACCACTTTCGTCTGCGGAGCAACGCGACGTCACTCCGTTTGTGACGCTTCAGCTAGGTTTCGAACCTGCAACTGTCCGAGCCATTTGTCTAACCATCTCCCACATTGATATGCATATATATATATATATATATATATATATATATATATATATATATATATATATATATATATACACAAAAAAAACATTGCCGACTCGTCCGGTGGATGCGGCCCACGTTTGCCATGGAGACGGCCGATGGCCAACGCCGCTCACTCTCACTCTCACTCTCACCGACTCACCCAACAGCGAGTTGGTGACTCGGCGCCCACTCACCCGTCCACGGTTGATGCCCTCCACGGGCACCTGGATGGAGTCGGTGACCACCTCGCCGTCGTCGGTCACGTGGTACACCAGGATGCGGAAGCTGGGAGCCATTTCGGCGGACACGGGCAGCGAGAGCGTCTTCATGGTGGG